ATGAAATTGCATTTACAATGTGTCCAAGTTCAATTCAAATACATTTTATGAGCGCATACAATTTTCAAATATTTATACTGTCCAGATTCTAAGGGAACTTGTGTGTTGAACTATTTAGAAGAAATAACATATTATTATACTCATCCTAAGGAAGTTTCAATTTTTCCAACAAATATGTATTTTGATTATACAAATATATATATAGTAAAAAAAATATAAAAATATGAGCTATTTAGAAGAAATATTATTATACTCTTCCTAAGAAAATTTCAAATTTGTCCAAAAATATGTCTTGGTTTAGTCTTTCTTCAAATACTGATTCCCTGATATTAATATTTATCGAAAAATTAACCTTGCTTTTTTGAAATATATTTTTGTGTATTATTACTATGAATAATTAAATATAATATTTTGTTTTGCATGTTCTTAGTATAAATAAGTAATTTTCTATTCTAAGTATTTTGCACTTTAATCTTTTGCTGGTTTTACTTACATATGTAATGCTCAGGCCCTTCCCATCCTTTGCGTGCCACAGTTTTGTTGGCAATGTGAAAACCCCTTTAGATTAGCACATGCCATAAATTCATTTAAGTCTGTCTAATCCTGGCACACACACACACACATGCACTCTAATATTACTTTGGGCATTGCTTATGACCCGCTGCTACTGGGTACAGGTTACAGGGTGCCGTGTACAGGGTGCCTTCCATATGCAGGCGAGAGAGGCCAAAGGCCAGAGGCATTTGCCTTGAAAATTTGCATGCAATGCTGTTGTAAATTTATTTATGACTTTGTTTTTGCGCACGGAACGTTTTCCAGTGTCTGTGCAGCTGAATATTAAAAATGTTTGCATTGTCTTTTAGCAATTTAACTGCCATCTTATGCATTTATCATTCTCCAGCTAATCCAGCCCATGGCCATTAGGTATTTTTCCCTCTAGCTGCTCGAAAATGATGAAAAATTATTATTAAAAACTATCTAATTTTCTCACAGAATAAAAAAAAATATTCCATGTGTACATTAATAAAAAAAAAAACAAATTTTATTGGTCTGGAAGATTTCTGAAAAATGTTTTTAAACAGCTGTCGTTGCTTCGTGTGTGGCATATGGACTGACGCACTTTAATTTCCTTTTTTTTTTTTAGACACTTTCAACATTCGAAAATTTCTAAATTCGCGTACTGGGCAGATCCCAAACGAACTGTGTTTACACATCTCAGAAAGCAACAAGATAAATAATCGTGATGCAATAATTAACGCACTAAATGATTGCTATTTTTGGCATAAATCGAAGGCAAACAGAAAGAAAGCAAAAATAGCCAAACATTTCTCCACGAAATTATTGAACAATCATTTCAAGTGCAAGATCGTTTATAAAGATAATTGCCTGGCATATTCGAGACGTGAAATATTGATAATCATAAAAATAGCTGGAAATCAAAGGAAACCTGCGCAGTTATAAAAATTAATTCGAAAAAACTCTTGAATTTTATCTGCTTATGGATGAGCTTGTTGACAAGTGTACGGACCCAACCAAATTGGGCACCCGGCACTGTGCTGTCATTATCTCTATAGAAAAAAAAAGAGTTAACATTGAAAATACAAAAGGGAAAGTGACGCGCCGTGACAAGGCGCTCTCTCAGTCCGGCTCTCGTCTGCGCTCCCGCTCTCCAGAACGTTGACGTGCCCTGCTTACAGAGAGTGTCATTACCTATAGCTCATACTCGGGCTACTTTCGTTATATCATTTTTGACAAACAAATAAAAAAGAAGTACTTTTGTTGTTTACTTTACGATCATTAAGGTTTCCTGTTCCATGCTGCGCGTTCCCCCCGCACACTAACCGCAGTGCTGAGAGCATGGAAGCGGAATCAGAATCAGAAACGGAATCGGGTTCGGGTTCGAGTTGTGGTTCGCTCGTGGAAATGTCGGCACCGACTGATCAGTCTTTGAGACGCGTGTTTGGCGTGCAGATCGCGTCCGAGAACCTCGCAACGAATTTCACCCTTTGCATCGAATTTGACGCCCGGCACCAAGTGGTAAAATAACAGTGAATATGACAAAACAAACATAATTTACATATATATTAATTCCGATAAACAAATAAATTCAATTTGCTGCATTAAAGTGCGCATTTAAGAGGCTTATCAAATATTTGCGGCATTAACTGGATTATTAAATAATGCATAAACACACACAAGCCTTTTTTTATTGAATGCTTAAAAAACACAGCATAAATTCATTAAATCAAATTAGTTTTTACACCGAATTTCCACACAAAAAAAAAACTATAATTAATGCAGTTGTTGTTGGCCTATTGTTATTTAATATAAACAAGCGCTAGTTGCCTAGTCAGCTAAAAATATGAAGCCGCATATTCAACCACTTAAATTTCACGCAACAAAAAAACATACAAATTTTAAATAAGAGTTGAGAAAGAACTGCGCATGCAAATTAAAGGCCAATTTGCTTTTAAGCTTTTATACACTTTGTGTGGTGCTTTGTGGTGCCAATTGGTAGAAAAAGAGGTTTTAAAATTGGCACCGCCGACACCTTTTGAGTTGGATATTACGTATTTGCACAGTTGCGAGTGGCCCAGTCCAGCGACTGGCGACCAGCTGATTTGTATTTATATTTATATTTGCTTTCGGTTTTGCTTTCAATTTGGTTTAGTTTTGTTGTCAACCACGCGACGCCACACGCTCTGCAGAGTTCATTAGCCCAAAGAGAGCAAGGGAGACAGAGAGAGAGAGGAAGAGGAGACATGAAAACAATGTTCAATTCTATGCTCTTATACTGCAACATTATATATATGTCATTCAGACAAACATATATGAGTTTAGAGTTGCTCCACTTAGTTTTATCACCCGCACAGCCGTCAGCCTTGTTCTCTTTGACTTTTGCTTCCATGCCTTGCCCTATCATCATTTCTTTTTATTTTCTTATCACACGTTATTCGATATTAACACCCTGTACTCATAAAATGATTCAGAGAGAGAGCATAGTACACTTATATTCCCAACTACCATATATTTTACTAGTTGAAAGCCCTTGCTCAGCTCTGAATTGCTTTAATATATATTCTTATTTATACCTGATGAATTATATGTATAAATATGTACTTACCCAAGAATTCACATACAATCGTCGTTTATTTTACTGCCATCTAGTGGTGGAGGGAGACACATAGCTGAAAGAACAAAGTAAATTAGAATGAGAATATGAGCGGACACTTGTAAATTTAATTATTATAATAAAAGCATGAAAACCTGTGCCTTACTTCAATTTGTCTGTTTTTTTGTGCAGCGTAAGTCTGCGTTACATACATACCCACATAAAAGCAAAAATGCATACAGAAATACACACATACATATACATACATACATACATACATACATATATACATATATACATACATACATACATACATACATACATACATACATACATACATACATACATACATACATAAATACAGACATACATACATACATACATACATCCACATACCTACTTACTTAAATAATAACTTACATGCAAAAAACACTTTTAACACTTGGCACACAACATAAAAACACTTAGTCAAAGCATAAAAACCTGCAGGGCTTACTAGAATTTATGAGAATCGAGTAGAAGGGCTTAATTTAAAAAGACGTTTTATTTAAATTGCAACTTAGCTGCATGTAAACTAGGTCTACGATTTGTAAGAAGACACGAGTGCATAAACACCCATATGCATGTATATATATATATGTGTATATACATACATACACACACACATATGCACACGCACACGCACACGCATGCAAAACTAGGTACACACCTATAACTGAGCTAATAAACATATAACGTGCGATTGTTGCCCTTAATTTTCCTCCTTGGAGGAAAATACAAAGTAGGTCTTCAATGAATTTAAATGTAAATATTCGAACATGTTTTTAAAGCTGTGCGAATAACACCAAAAAAGGTTTTATTCGACTTTTTTCAATTATTTTCCATAAACTATTCTCAACGTAGGTGGATTGCAATTATTTTTGATTTTGATATATTTAGAAAGAAAATTGTGCAAACTCCTTCTGGGGCTTGTGATATAATTAATTATTTACGTACAAATATTATGGGCACACGAGTACCCCCAATTTGACTTAATGCAGCTTCATACATATTACGCAATTTGTTGATAAATTGCAGTCGATAATTATTTCTATTGTTCATAGCTTTTGTTGTGGGTTATATGAAAGTCGTAAATAAAATAATGAAATTAAAATGATTAAAATTCATTTTAAATAGACCAACGAATTTTCCAAATATAGAAATAAGTATATTACAAAGAGAAATAATAGTGAAAATTAAAATATGACTATTTAATGAGTGAGGCACAGGCATGTGCAGACTTTTCATAGTCATCAAAATTAATAATCTAAAATAATTAATGTACAAAATAAATATTTATGCCCTGTAACCACATGAGTAAAATAGGCTTGCTTTTCATGACACATTGCGCCTGCATTTTTTTTATATTTCTGTGAGTAAGAATCGTTCAAATTTTAATTTTAACTTGAAGCATATGGTATATACCTTAGAGCTCTTTGCTTCATTCGTGTAAATATATCTTTATTGATAAAACTGTTTGGCTTGATTGGTGATCAATTCACTGTAGTTACCTTATGTGATGCAGGTGCAAGCTAATACGAGATATTGGGGAATTCCATTCCTTTTTGGTATAAATGTGGATGAAAGAATTGGTGGGTGAAGTTTCACGTTCAAATTCATTTCCAAAGTTCTCAATGAAAAATCATTAAGTCTAGTCCGATTTTCGTCAAACTTATTTTCAAAGCCCTATATAAAAATGAGTGCGTGTTTCACCGATTTCGGAAATCCACCCGCAACTGTGGTAAATTGGCGGAAATTAGCCATCTAAGTTGGCCATCTGATGGGCTTCAAAATCATTTTCAAAGATATTTTGTTTCACACTTTTCGTAAACTGTAGGACTTCTAGGCGTTATATAATTAACACTACATTTATTATTTATTATTTAAATAATCAATTCCTTAAAACGATGATACCATAATATTTTCCATAGAGGTCATCAGGTGAGCTATTCAGTGGGCCATGTCGTTGCGGTGTAGATCTTCATTTTGATAGGCAAGCCAAAAAAGTTGGATTCATGTGAATGGATATCGGCTGAAATGTCATTGTACTGCAGAGGGGTATATATATAAATATATACATATAGATAACATACCGATATATTAATATTATATTAACAAAACTTACCGTGGGTATGGGTCCATTTTTATAAGAATTTTCGGCCTTCAGAAATGCAAGCACACCGTCGTTTACTTCCGTCTTGTTCTTGGAAGAGAAATGTCTATCGATGTCGCTTATCTCTCGGGGTGTAGTAGATGTCTTTCCGCTTGTTGATTTCGTGTCTCCGGGCTTCTTTTGCCTTTTCCAGATGCTTGAACCAGCATAATACCGTCCCTTTTCCTTTTCTCTGTCCTTTCCCTTTGCTTTTCTTAGACTGCTATCCGATAGACTATCCGTGTCAGCATCCCGCTTGGACTTGTCCTTGGCATTCATTTTTGCATCTGGTGGACACTTCTTCCGAATCTCCTCTCGCTCAAAATCGATGCGTAGTTTAATGGCTTCCACCATGGTTATGGGATCGATGGGGTATGGCTTTTCTGGTATGCTGCCGGCAAATGCAATGTCGAAGGCGTACGCGTTAAAGTCCTCGACACCATCAAGGGAACTCTGTATAATTCCCGGGCAGCTTTGGTCCATGACCAATGCGTTGAAGAAGAGCGTATTGGTGCGCTGAATATAACGCTCCTCAGCTGCGGATGAGAGGGCCTTTAAGAGTAGATCAAGTCATATATAGACAGCGCACACTTACGCGTCGAAGTATCGTTAAACGGCAATAATCGGGATGTGGTTGCCTGGCTCTGCATGGAGCAGCTGGGCGCCGCCATGACCGTGGCAGGCCGACAAGGAGGCGGATAGCAAGTATTGTGGCTCGTGCTCGGCCAACTATCGCTGGCAACATTGCCACACGGTTGGATTCTACTGGCAGCTGCAGCCATCATATATTGATCGCAGAACGTGACCTGTGGCATTTCAAAAGTTGTTTGGAATGTCGTGTTCGTGTCGAAATTATAATATCCTTTACAGGAATATTGAATGAATTTATACATATGTGTACTACGCATGGAAGGAGACGTCTCCGAGTCTATATGAAATATATCCGCTTGACCAGTATCAAGAGCTTATCCGTCCGTCTCTTTCTATACGAAACTAGTCTCCCGGGTCCAATATCTATTATCATGAAACTTTGTACAGGGGTGTCTTTCGGAACTGGTCACTAAATTATATACCTTTTACCTATACCCTTTACATATGATAAAAACGTTATTAAGAGTAGACTTCTATAACATATAACTCTATAGGAGCGATTGGTCAATATTTAAGATCTTGTTTGAAAAACATTTTCATGTTTCTTGAACCTACTCGGCATTAATTGACTTTTCTGTACTCCTCACAACTAAGCAACATCGTATCTATATCGGAACATTTTATAAATATATATAAATTTTCAAGGTATTTATATATTATTGCCCAGGAAAATATTATCAACATTGGACTATTATAATATCAGCTCTCTATAGGACAATTTGTACGAATAATGAGTTTTTCTTTGGAAAACTTTGCTTTTCTTTTTTTTTCCAAATATATTCACTAAGTTCGCAAGCTAAAAGCTTGACTATTATATACAGCCTTATGACTGCAAGGGTATTAAATATTCGGCATGCCGAAGATAGTGTTTTCTTGCTTTTACTCACATTGGGTGGCTGCTGAACATTGGGTCTCAGGCAGGGCGGCCTCTGTGGCTGTGCCGGGGGCATTTGAATATAGGTCGTATTGTCGTACGTTTCGAGCATTTCACGCTGCTTTTATTGTGATCTGATGCTAATAAGAGGTCAACATTTAGATTAGATACCTGTGCTTACCTGTGCCTGCTGACGCTGCATCTCCATAGCTGTTGGTGGCCTTTGCTGGCAGGTGTATTGCGCCTGGCTGGGGGCTGCAGCCGGCTGCTGGCACGGGTATTGTGCCTGGCTGGGAACTGAAGGCGGTTGCTTGATTGGAAAGTAAAAAAACAAGTAAAGAATAATGAATTTTGTACGGTTATCTAGGCAAAAATCAACTTTAGCTCACCCTTTGTTTCATGCAACATCCGGAATATACTTGACCCTGACTCTGATCATATATTACTCCGGAAGAGTTACATGCTGCTATCCGCTGCTGCTGTTGCAGCTGTTGTTGCTGCTGCTGCTGCTGCAGTTGTTGCTGTTGTTGTTGTTGTTGTTGTTGTTGCTGCTGCTGTTGCCGCAGCTTTGCGTTGGACATACGCTTAGAGGGCGCCCTGCTGGCAATCATGGTGCTGTTCAGAGCAGGCTCCTAATCAAAAGATGCACCCAACTCATGAGGGTTGTCGTTAGCAGTCAAGTTTTTGCAGAGCTACTCACAAAATTATCTAAGGTCTGATCGTTCCTTTGCCAAGTATTATAGCCCGGTTGCGGCTGCTGCTGCTGTCTCTGATTTTGCTGTCGCAGCCATTTCTCATAGCTCAGGTCAAAGACGGTGTCACTCGTTGGATTTGTCGTTTGTTGCTGCATCATATCGTAGGGATTCACATTGCTGGGCACTGTATAGGCATTGCTGCTGCCAGTCCTATTGGGACACTGTCGGGAACAAAATGAATATATTAGGCAAAACGAAAATGCATTGCAAAGAGCTTTAATGGAAGACTAGGCTAACTCTTGAGCGGATAATTGAATACAAATTAGCTTAATCAGTTCTTTTGAGTGCTGAGCTAAAGCTAGAAATTCTTTTGTGGAAATCTATGTAAGGCATATGTGTTCTTGAGCAGGACGACCAGCCTAGTCGATCTATCTGTCTGTGTGAACGCATCGATCTTGCAAAATACTTAAAATTTGAAATATATATTTCTATATACCATACGCAGTACAAGTCTATCATTTGTTGTCGATACCTCGACCCATATCTATAATATCGATAATAATCGATTTTCTAAATCAAAATCTATAAGATACCAAATTTGGTAGGCAGGCTTTCGTATTTACAGCTCTGGAACATTTTGGCATATACTTTACTTGAATACTTCAACCATGTTCCACTGTAAACAAGAGCTTTGCGCTTAATTAGATTAAGGTGCCATAATTATGTCTAGAATATTTACTTAAAATTAGACTTGTTGTATCGACTTACCGCTGAGCAATCCCTAGTTGGTATTGCTGGCGTTGGCTGTTGTGTCTGCTAGAGATTAGATTACATTGTGATGTATAAGATGTTCAATACGAGTAAGCCACTTACGCTTACGTAGGCACCAGTTGGCTGTAAGCCCAGGTAATTATTTGCCTTATCTGGTTGAACGGCGCACTAAAGTCAAAGATATGTGATTAACTTTTCCCTGCTGCACGAACTTCCAAATTTATTTATCGATACTCACAAAATTATCAGCGCCTCTAAGGCACGTGCGTTGAGATTCCGTGTGAGAAGCCGGAGCGCTCAAGGAACGAGCGCGACGATCGCTCGCATTGCGCACTATGCTGGACGTCTGAGGCTGCACGGTATTCCAAAATTCCTGCGGATACGGCAGCTGCTTGAAAACAAAAAGAGAGAGAGAGAAGGAGAGAGAGAGAGAGGGAGAATCATTTAGTATTCTAGCCTGAACACCTACCAATTGCGGTGCTGGTGCTGGCACATCCTGGACATTGTTCGGCGTGGGTTTACGTTTCGCTGGATCGGTTGCATCTTGAGGCTTATTTGAACGCATTATTGGTTGATAGTTTTTGTGGCAGATGTGTTTAACGTATGCTGCGTCGACCGTCTCATCGGAGTCACTTTCGGAGCAATGTCGCCACGAGGCAGCCTTATTCTGCTCCCGCTGGTAGCTTAGGAATCGACTCAAAGCAATGTAGAGCTCATCGGGCAGCAGCACAGAGTTTCTAACAGTGTCCATGGGAATAGATTGGCATATCTTACACATTGGTGTTACAGATTGCAGTCACAGATGCCAGATGCATCCTCTCCGGGCAGTACTTACATGCGATCTATTTTACCGGCACGCGTCGATCAAAATATGGATTTCAAATATGCGCTGCGACTCTTCTATGCAAAGCTTGAACGCAAAATTTTGTTGCCTAATCGTGCTAAAAACGGTTTGGCATTTTTATCAAAATTTATATTAAATTTATGGATTTCGATGTCAAAACTAAATAACATAAGAAATGGGCGTCCAAAGAACACAAGAATCAGAGCTAACTACATTTGTGAAAAGTAAACTAAACTAAATTTTGCTACAAGTTTCTGATATGAATAGCAAAATTTTCTAAATCTTCAATAATCAATAATTGAACTACTACTTTATAAATTTCAGTTTATCTAAAAATATTATTCATTTAGATTTTAAAAAACTAGATTTTTTTGACAGGTCCAAGTTATACACATATTTTTAATGAAATAGGTAAACATTCTTAATATCTGAAAGGCGCGTATCTTTGATCATATGTACTTTTAAACTTCGTACAGGGTATTTTATAGTCGCGACTTCAGCTATCCTAATTTAGCTTATAAAATACGAAGATAATCTTACTGTTGTATTTTAAGCCAAATAGGTAATAGCAATAATCATGTAGTCAACTTACATATACCCTATAATTTGTATTAAAATTTAAAATCAGCAAAAAGTTCCTTAAAAATTAAAGGATTTTTTTTTTCTTATTTTAATATCTTTAAATATTCTTGACTAAAGTCTATAATTTTACAAAGCATTTATATAAATCCGACTATTAGTCGATAATACCCTTTTGATGCCCTACACTGATTCCCCTTGTGCATATCAACAGTTCGGCTTTTTATTAGCCAACTGTTTCAATTGCAACTCCACAAAAGCCAAGTCGTTTTTACTGCTGTCCATATCCGTTTCCTCGCCTGACATCCGGGCCCTGGGGCAGGCATCATGCCACACGGCCAGCTGCTTGCTGGGTGGCCCCAGCTGTTCGGCAAGTTGTTTAAGAAATGTGGGCGTGGCATGCACATTACGCATGAAATCCAGTTCACGCAAGCTGGCCGCCTGACTGACAATAAAGCGGAGCATAGCGGGCGGCACTTGCGGCGCCTGCGGCAGCCACTTGATGCTGCCATCGGTGGCATCATAGTGCACCATCAGCTGCGAGTGCCAAGCGAAGCGTTCTAGCTGCACAACACTCGAGTGGCCGGCCAGGAGTCGCGGCAGGCTGGCATCGAGTTGGCATTGCAAATGCAGCCCCACAACTTGACAGGCGACACCACCAGCACCACCTTTGCGAACGCTCAGCGCCGTCAGGCAAGCGGATATGGTCGCTGTGGCCAAGGTGCCAGCATTTGGCTGCGCTTTGTCGTCGTCAATGTCGCCGCTGCTGCGGCAGGTGCTGGAGCAGAGGAAGCCTGTCAATTGGCGCAGCTGCGGTATTCGTGCAATTCGCGTGCCCGCCGCCCGCAACGCGCACCCCGGCAATTTCAGCGTTTGCAACGTTTGGCAATATTCAATGTCGGCCAAGGCTGCGGCCGGAGCGCCACAGATGCTGCCTGGCAGCAGCTCAAACAAACTCAGACGTGGCAGCTGGGCAAAGAGCGTGGAGAGTTCCGCGGGCGTCAGCCTGTCAAAGGCGCCCAGCTGCAGCTGGCCAAGGTTTTCGCAAATTCGAGGCAGTTGCCGCAGCAGCGCTGCCGAGCTGCATGCCCTAAAGCTAAGCCTTTGCATGTGTGGCATGCGTATGCGCTTCCGTTTCCGCTTCCCCAGCGAGCTGCCACTCAGCCAGGCCGGCAGGTGCTCGCCAACGCTGAGATTAAGCAGCGCCCGTGTCAGCCGGCTCATGTGCCCCAGCAGCTGGCCCTGCTCGCGGGCGCTTAGGCATTTTAATTGCGGCTCCCGCTGCCAATCGAATGCGCTGGCGTATTTGCGCCGCCAAATCGCCAGCACCAGCTGCCGCAGCCTGCCGCCCAGCTGCAGCAGCGCGAACTGATCCCCAATTGCCAGCCGGGCGCAGATAAGCAGCAGGCAGTCATCGTTGAGCGTCTCCAGCGAGCTGGCCGTAGCTGCGGCGGCGGAAGTAAAGGAGTTCAATTGTGCTTTGGGCTGGACAGGATGTGTGTATGGCTTACCTTGTTGCCTTAACTGCATTTCGTTGTCTTGCCTCGCCAAGTACGCACTTCCAACTGACGAGTTGCTGTCGCCGCTGCTGCATGCAACTTGTGCCGGGCGCAACCCCCGTTTTGAATCACGGTCCCAGTCAGCTGCTAAGAACCGCTTGCGACTTCAGTTGTGTGGCATGCGTCGCATGCGACTTCGAAACCAACACCACCAACAACACACCCACAGAGCATTTGTTGTAAGCAGCAGTTTGCACAGTGTGCCGGGTTTTATTTTATGGCAATTGAAAAATTGGGCAATTGGGCGTGTCAAGACTTAAATCTTTCTATTTTATATAGAATATTTGTATACGATCGTGTCTTTGCTAATTTGAGATTGGAATAAATTGAAGATTTTCAACCCTTAGCTCGTAGCAAGAATGTGGAAAAGTTGTCCAATTCGACCGTCTTCTCTCTATTTTTTTAGTTTATATTACTTTTATTGTTAAGCTAATTTATTAAAACTTTGCTTTATTTGCTTTCTCTAGCTGCACAGGCTTTCTGCAGCCAAAAGACGTATCTTAAGAATTAAAAAAATTGTTTTCAAGAGAACTGGCAGATAGACGTATAAAGCAATATCAACGCAGCTTGTCAAGATTAAGAATATATGTTCCTTACGTTTTTTTAAAGCATTATACCATTTTTAATACATCAATTATATGACTTATACTATATAATATATTTACACTCTATACCTACATACTCAGAAAAATATATTTTTTTTAATCATTAAATCAACTCACACTCACCACTGTGCCGCTGTTGGTGGTGTTGGTGGTGGTGGGCGCAGTGGTGCTGCCGGCGTTACGAAAATAAATGCAACCCCTGGCAGGCACACGCTCGCCCAAAGTCCGCACTCCGAGTTGTTTTCATACCCTGTACACAGAGATGATGGGTAAAGTCGGTATAATAGTTTTGTGCAAGTGTATGTAACAGGCAAAAGAAAGAGCATCACGATCCAAGAACAAATATATACCCTTGATATGGGCGACAAGCTGTGTCGGGCGCCCGGCTGGAGGAGCTCGTCGCACTTGAGGACTATCAGACTTGAAATTTGAAATATATATATCTTTTCCATTTTCATAATATCGATATTTATCGATTTTTAAGTAAGGATTTTTAAGCAATTCTCAGAGTAAAAAACAAGACTATTTTACTTTATGGAGAAAGAATACTTCACTTTCCTCATTCCCCCCGAAATTGGAAAATAATCGGAGTTGGGTTCAGGGTATCTTCTAGCCAGGCATACCCATTTATAGAACTCTTGTTTTTTACTTCAAGCGAAGGCCGTCGCACTTCGATTGCCGTTTATCGCTCGCCGAGTGTTTGGGTTATTTTTAAAGAGCGGCAGAAGTTGCCACATGATAAATATGTGCGGACATATGGCAACCATGGCAATGACGCCAAGGCGCAGGCCTAAAAGATAGAGTCTTAAGTGCACTGATCGAGATAATCGCACTGATGTTGGGTTTCTTTTTAAATACATAGATCATCCGACTTACCAGTCGAAACATGAAACTTTGCTTTTCCATTCAGCTGGGTCCGATTTGGAAGTCTCAGCTCCAGTCATGATTTGTTTTTAGCATACAAGTCGAACGTAAAGTTTCTGAAAAATTTTTGGAAAAAATTTGGTAGTTCAAAATTTTGGTAATGGCAACCAGAAGTGGTAAATGGCAATTCAGCTTGCCCAAATGTCCGCACCGCAATCCCATCCGGCCTGTGGACAATGCGCCCGCGCGGCCAATACCCAGCGATGATGGCGACGACTTGAATCGGGATCGTACTGCCAAATATGCCAACATCTGCTGGCATATCAGCCTGATCATATTGATCAGCACAATGATATTGGCGCTGGTATGGACAGTATATTTAAGCGTTGACTATTACTCGTGCTCGCCGGAACAGCGCTTCGCCAGGCTGCGTCAGGACTTCCTGATGCGGGAGCGGCGGCGTCGCGTGGGCGGCAAGGTGAAGCTGAACCCACTTGAGGAAGTTGCCAATGAGCGTCTGCTGGCCATTAAGCAGGTGGACGAAGAACTGCATCACATCTGGAGCGATTATCAGCCCCGACCACATTTTCTAGCCAAATACAAATTCAATGAGACAGATCTCTATAGTGTGCTGCGCAGCATGCCCAAGGGCGGGCTCCTGCACGTGCACGATGCGGGCATGTTCAAGACGGATCTGCTCATTGAGCTAACCAATTATTCTGATCTGTGGACCTGTGTGGGCCTCGATGGTACCTTTGAGGACTTTCGCTTCTCGCTAACCCATCCGAGAATCAAGCCGCAGGGTAATTACAAATGCACCTGGATGCAAATGAGCACCATCCGAATGGAGTACGATCCTTCATATATCCAGAGGCTACGCGAAAGTCTGTCCATTAATGCTCACGGCTTCATGAACGCCACCCATTTGGCCAATCACATGAGACGGGCGCATCGTCTCATCCACGGCTTGATCACATATCGCCCCATATGGCCCACCTTCTTGATCGGCATGCTCGAGGATTTCTATGCCGATGGCGTCAGTTATGTCGAGCTACGCTCCTCGCTGCCAGTTGTGAGTAACTAGGAGGCGTTCTCCTTTCTACACATCTCATATGCATATCTAAATGCCACCTGCTCCCCAGATGTATGATTTGATTGGCACTAACTATACCATTTGGGATACGGCCTATTCACTTCTTACCGCTACAAACATATTCCGATCCTCTCACGATGATTTCATTGGCATCAAGCTTATCTACGCCCCAGTGCGGGATTATAATGACAGCAGCATGGACACCTATATAGAAAATGCCCGTCTTCTGAAGGTATGCGATTCAAGTTGTTTTAATTGTCCATGCCGGATCATGTGTCAGAAGCATCAATAGTCATGTCGATATAGTCTTGTCCGTCTGCCTATCTGTTTCTAGGCAAACTGGTTGCAGATTTGCAAGTACCTGATTCCCTCTTTCAAAGCTTTAACTTGTTGAGAATTGTAAGCTCTATCGGCAGTTAAATCTTTTGAAAATTGAACGAATACTCTTCTACTTTATCAAGTATAGCTGAAATAGAAA